GCTCAAAGGAATAGCATGATTCCATATAATACTATTGGCATAGGCGTAGGCATTTAAATTTCATTTGTAATACTTGAGTTTGCTGCCAAATCTTCAAGTCTCTCTTTTTACATTGAATTAAGTGTCTATGAAAGAATTATACTTCCTTAAAAGAAAGCACAAAGTTATAAGAGAATATTGTTCTCATCTCCAGTTAAGTACAACTTTCATCTTGGTAAGATTTTTTTTTTTTTTTTTTTTTGTACCAGAGATCGAACTCGGGTCCTTGCTCTTGTGCAGCAGGCAGCGAAACCACTGAGCTAAATCCCCGGCCCCATCTTGGTAAGATTTTTAAAGGGGGAGTTCATATCAGTGACTTGTAATAATGCATATGTAGAGGGAGAACAGAAAGAAATAATGCAAAAATAAATGGTTCTAACTATGTCCTGCCTTCTTTCCCCAATAATCTAGTCCATAAACTACTTTGACCTTACAAAATAGAAGCAAAGTCTGCAAAAAGACAAAACAGAAAGAATAGAATTCATATAAATGCCTAAGATTTGAACTATATTAACCAGATCAATTCCCTGTTCAAAGTCAGACCACACATTTTGCCAAATACTGTAGTTTGACAAATAGCAAATTATTCAAAATAACTGAGGTAAAAATTCATATGTGTGGAATCATCCTATATAAACAGATATTGAAAGAGTTTTAGTGGTAATTCAGGGTCATAAACTTCCATGTATCACTGGGTATGGTAGTGCACACCTGTAATCCCAGCAGTCCAGGTGGCTGAGCAGAAGGATCACAAGTTCAGGCCCAGCATGAGCAATTTAGTGACTTAGCAAGATTCTATCTCAAAATACTAACACTAATGCTAATAATAAAAAGGTTGAAGGTTTATAGTTGGAGATGAATACCATGATCATATACTGAATCAAACCTCAAGTAGGCATTAACCACATCGTGATTTTTCTTCAGGACCCCAGTCTTTTTACTTCTTGTTCAACATGCTTCAGGGTAGCAATCCCAGCAGCAGAGCCCAGAGCAGCTGTCCCAGGAGTTCTAGTGTCAGGACTGTGCCCTGCTCCTACTGCCCAGTCCTCAGAGGCACCCACATGATGCTAGGGCAACCACAGCCAAAAGCAAATGTGTTATTGTGCTGCACTGACGATCTCTAAGAACCTGGTTTTTATTTGCATCATTTGCCCATTTGCTCCTCCTTGTCAATATCTATTACTTTTTATTGGTTGTTTCCATTAATTACTCTTATTCAGTCCTGAATTGAACTGAATTGCTGCATCAGTCTCTTGGCTGTGTTACCTCCCCTCTCAAATCCGTATGCTTATGGATGGGATCTTACATCTTCCTTGCTATCATTTTCCTTCTGAGCCAGACTGCTATAGTGCTAAGAGCTTGGGCTTTGGCGCATCAGATAGAATTCAAATCCAAGCTCATCTTTAATTAGTCTAAACAAATAATTCTGTCTGCAAAACCATTTATGAATCTGTAAACATGTTAATCCTTGCATGGTTGTCGAATAGATTAAATAAGATTATATCCATTAGACCTTAGAATGCGTCTGGTACAATCCCTAACATGTAGCAGGTTTTAAATGAATATAAAGTACTTTCTGTTCTTTTTCACTTCATCAACTGTTTTCTATCAATTTATCCCAGACGACTTCATCTAGTGGCCAAGACCTTCAGTGCCCAGATATTTGCCTCAGGATTTTGCAGTCCAGTGAGAACAAAGACATAAAGTTATAATAATTAAAATAGCAAGTGAGAAGTACTGTGAGATTGCAAAACTATAAAAGTTCTTTGAAATCTTGCTTTGTAGAAGCATAGCTTCATAGAAGAGATTTTTCAAGGATGAATAGGAGTTTGGTGGAGAGACGGGGACAGTTAGATATATAAATATGAAGGTGCATGTTCCAGGGAGAGAGAGGTGAGACTTTGAAGAAAAATAGTCCTGATTTGTAAAAAGCCTTGAAAATCATTATAAGGAGTCTGGACTTTATTTCTATAGACAATAGGGAGAAAAATGTCAGGATCACATGATAAGAAACTAAGAGATTCACACAGTACAGTGGAAAAAATTGCCCAAAGGACCTGGATAGTTTTGTCACATCTCTCTTCTTCTGAATGCGTCAGAAGTGTTCAAGGAGTTGAGAATGACTTGGTCTAACTCCCCTGAACTCAGCGGGGCTTCTTTCCCTGACAAACAGCAAGCACTTCTAAACCACAGTGCAGACCTCTTGAAAGTGGCAGTGCTCAGGAGCTGTTTTCTAGAATTGATCTTACAAAAGTTCACTTAAATGATTAAGCAACTCTTTGTTCTGGTAAGGATGAAGTCTCTTTATAAAATGAGAGAAAAGTGATAATCCCTACTTCAGTAACATCTCCATTAAAACAGGAAAGAAACCCTAGAAATGGAAGGTAATGGAAGAATTCAGCCATCTGATTCAATACAAGTTAGCTAGTGTTAAGAGGATTGAAGTGGAGTGTTAACATTTGTTCAGTACCTACTAGGTCCTGCCAGTGCGTTAGATGCTTCATATACATGACTTCATTTTATTTTCCCCATAACCTGGTGAGTAGGTGTTTTTATTCCTAGTTGAATTCAGGGGTCGCATTCGTTCAATCATTACTAGATTATCAAATAGTTTCCTTTAAATCTTCTTTCTGGGCATAAGCATCATCCCTTATGCTCTTTCCCTAATAGATGGTTACTTGTAATTAATTTCAAGCTCAGTTGAAAACTCTTACTGGGATTGCTCAATAGGAAACAAAAGAATGTTATATTGAAGGAGGATGAAGTAACTACATTTCATACTTATAGACTTGATGGGAATCCTGGTTTATTCATCATTTTAGTATGGAGTAATTTTATTTCTTGGGCCATCACTTATCATTCAACAAATAGTTAAGTTCTCAAAACCATGTATTTGGCTGAGGTCAGGCTCAACAAAGGGCCATGCCTGCTTGTTCTTACTCAGTCTTGACACTGTGCCCCATGTCATTTCACTCTGCTTCTTCAAATGGCCGAGTACAGGATAACCTTTCCTTTCCTTTCCAAGGCAAGCTAAAACTTTTTCCTTTCAAATTAGAGGCAATGTTGGATTAGCAAATGAAACTCCAGATGCTAATCCTTTCAGTACGATCTGATGAGGTTTTGTTAAAGCCAACAAAAGAGGTTTCAGAGAAATACTGTTGACACTGCTAAACAGTACTTAATACTGAAGCTTGCTACCATTCAAGTCTTGACAAGTGAAATGCTTGGTTTTTCATGCAATAGAAGCAAATATTAAATCAGATAGCAATGGGGAAGAAATTCTCTACTATGGGTCTAATGTGAACACTTATCTTGGATCTACAATGGTCTCCACCCATATGATGCCTGTGGAGTTAAAGGTTAAATCATGATTGGCAGATCTGGGATCAACAACCGCCAGCAATTACATTTATCAGCATCATCTGCAAACCCCATGCTCCTCTGGGGCTCCCTGCCAGCAGGACTCTTATTCCTGGGTTTGTAGGGACATAAATCTCTTTGCAGGAAGCAGGAACAAAGTTAGCTGCTTGAGAAGACAAGGTACTTAAGAGCTTAGGCAGAGAAATGCGGTGCCATTCAGATTCTGATTTGCTAATGACAAAATTCACTGTGCATTTCCAAGCCTGGAGGTACCTCTCCAACTCCGTGGGTCTCTGTGATGTGAAGGAGCCATCCTGTGGCCTCTAGGAGGTCTCTAGGCTACAGCAGTTCATAGGACAGATTTCATCACAAGCAAGGACATCAGGATCCCTGAATCAGAGGGGACACAAGAGACTCATTCATCATAAAATATCTCCTAGCCAAACATAAAATTCCTCTATTAGCAACTCATGCCCTGGGGTTAAGCAATACTCTATTTCTGCAGCCGCCCTTCAGAATGCAAACCTCTGAGAGGTAGGAGTGTGCAGGAATAAATGAGTGGAGGAAAGGACCAAGAAGAGTGAGCTATGGAGAGATAGTGGTGGTGGAGATGGGAGAGAGAATACAATCATTGGTTCTTTTACAACTATACCATTGAGCCCGAAGGGCAGGGACCAGAGCTGTCCATTTATCACTGTTCTCCCGCACCTTGCATAATGCCTACCAAGTTCGACCACTGAATGTCTGTGAAGCAGGTTTGCTTTCTATCCTTGCTTAGGTAGCAGCCTTGGTTTGTCCAAACCTAGAAAAATGCAGTATGTGTACAACCAAAGACTTCAAAGAACCAGGCCAGACAGCTTCTGATTCACTCACCCCAAAGCTTCTGCCAAGAAGTGAGAGCCAGGGTGAGGCCACACTTGATGGCTGCCCTCTGGCACTGAAATGAACCTGCATGCCAGGGAGCCTGGTGAAACAGTGGAGCCAACCTCTTTGGCTCCTCAAAGAGACATGGCCTCACCCTCTCCTACAAGCCACAGAGTTCTGGCCAATCTGTTGCCTGGAACATAAGAGCGGCTAGAGACGTTTTTATAGGATCCTTTTATGAGGGCAGGGTGTACTTTGCCTCCCCATTTAAAGACCACACCTTTGGAAGTCAAACTCCTGGAGAATTGCTTTATAGCCTTGAGTATACTAAAAACCATTTAGCTTGGAAAGATATATGGATAAAATAGTGAAAGGTGCTCTGCTGCTGAATTAATACTTTATGTACTGCTAGCAATTTACCTACCAAAGTGCTAGTTGTATCAGTGTGGAAGAGAAGTGAGAGAGGAGAAGGAAGCTCCAAATCACTAATATCGCCAATGAATATGAGAACTGCACCATGTTGAATGGGAAGATACAGAGATAACAATTTGCTTATGAATCTCTAAGCAGCCTCATTCACAAAATAGAGAAAACTGTCACTGTTAGAGTCAAATTTATTCCAGCTAGCAGGAAGCAATGAAACTGAATCAGATTTTCTCATTTTGCATAAATTTAGTAGAGCTACATTAGGTTCTATATTTTTCTAAGGGTCTCACCATAAAATACCACAAACTGGGTGACATAAACAACAGAAATTTATTTCTTGATGGTTCTAGAGGCCAAAAGACCCATATCAAGATTTGGTGGGAAGTCTACAGGTCTGATTTCTTTGAGGTCTTGCTCCCTGGTCTCCTCCCTGGTCTCCAAAGGGTCACCACTCCACCTGTATCGAGTGCATCCTGATCTCCTTTTCTTATAAGGACAATGGTCATATTGCCTTAAGCCTCTAATGACCTCAGTTGACCTTAGTTACTTCTTTAAAGGGCCACCTCAGAATACAGACACCTTTTGATGGACTCTGGGTAGGATGTCAAAATAGGAATTTGGGGTAGGAAACTATTCAGCCTGTAACAGGCTCCAAAAGGAGGTGATATTGTCCAAGGAGAAGAGGGAGAATGTCTTCCAGGACTGTAGCTCTGCTCACACACAGGAGGCTGGAATCCCCTAACCCTAACTCCTGGCGGGGGGGACTTCCTTGTGCTCCTAAGGACTTTGTCGGCCTCTGAGATCTATGAAAGAGGATGGGATGAAGACGTCATTATTGTCACATCAAGGAGAAGGTGAAAACGTAGCTTTGTTTTTGCTCCTTGACTCACTGCGAATGCCTTGATTGGTGAAATTGAAGTTGCACAGCAAAATCTAGATTCCGAGGCCAAATGCCCTGCACTGGGGACCCATCTCTGCCATTTATGAGCATAATTAAAACAACCTAACCTGGTAATAAAAACAATCATGACAAGGGAAGGAATGGAGCAATTAAAATCCCTTGTTCTATCCAGTACTCAACAGGAAGCTGACAGTCTTAAAAGAGCCGGGACTTTGAAAACAATGTGTTTGTTCAGATGAGCCCGTCTATTCATGCATGATACAGTGTCTGCATTAATTCTTTGCTTAGGAGCTCATTACTTATAATGTAGGTCAAGGTGTCTGTGTCAGTTTGGCTCAGTTAGTCTTTGCTGTAATTTGCAAATTAGAAAAAGCAAAGTGTTCTAATTTAGGTGACTCCATCACTCACAGGCCTTTGAAATGTGCCCAAATGTACCCTTTGAGCAGACAAAGAACAAGCCACAAAATTCAGTGGCTTCCACAATCTACACCCATCACCCACATTGCCACCTAACGAAAAAGAGAAAAAAAGGCTATGAAGCTTAGAAAAAAATAAAAGATGCAAGATTAAACAAAAGGCATGAAGTTCACCCATGGGCCAGGAACTTGTCACATACATTCTTTCTTCAACTGTCTCAGTGTCCCAAACAGGAAGCAAAGCTTCAGGAAGAAAAGGGAATTTCCCAAGGTCTTTGCTCTTTCAAGTAGCATTCAATCCATCCCTCCTCAGACTTCCTCACACTGCAGCTAGAGTGCTCGCTTACTCCAGTTCTGATCAGGCACCTCCTCTCCTTTAAGACCTCCAATGGCTCCAAGGGTCTTCGAATCAACACACAGCTTCTTTAGCCGGTTGCTGAGTCCCTCCTGCCTGGCGTGGCTCCCCTCATATGCATGTAAGCTGCCTTCAGTGGCATCTGCTCCCCTTGCTGTTCTTCTGCAAAGCCCGTGTTCTATGAGACTCCCTCCCCTTTAGGAGCCCTCCACAGGCTGGCCCTCCTCTGGCCATGCTCTTCCTTCCATTTACCTCCTGGACCAGCACTCATCCTTCACTTCCCGGTTCCATTGTCCCAAGGGCAGGAAAGATTTCTCTGCTTCCTGAAATGAGAACACATCCTCTGCTATGCACTCCCATGGGCCCATCATTACCCATCCTTGGCTCTCACTGCAGTGCATACTCATTTGTGTGATGAAGCTTGTCATTTCCGTCCTCTGCAAAGGTCACAAGTACAGGGATCCTGGCTGTCTTTGCTCTTTAAGGAGGTAGGCACTCAGTAGGCACACAGTAGGTGCTCAATGAATGTTTGCTGAATGGATGAAGAAATTAGGAAAATAAGTGTACCTGCATGCATTTTATTCTTTTCTATGCATTCTGCTCCTGGAATGGAGAAAATGGCTCAGTGGCAGTAGAGAAAAAAAATTTACAATGAGAATAATTGCTCCTTCCTGCAGAATTCTTTGTCATTGTGTCATGGTGATTTATAAAACGGCCAGGTGAATAGCACGTTGCCATCTCCCCTGCTAGACTGCAGCAAGGGCCGTATTTTATTCACCATCATATCCACTGTACCTAGCACAAGGCAGGAACTTACACTTTTACCCAAGGGGGGAAAACACAAAGTACTAACCCAGAATAATAGGCTCTAGGAATAAGATTTCTCAGCTCAGATGTAAAGGAATTTAGAGCACAGATAGATGGATTAACTCCAGGGAGGAAAGGGAAACACTTTTCCTCTGATACTACAACAAAGGAAGAGAGAACAGATGTAGAAATAAAAATAGACAATGGTGAGAGGGACGGGAGGGGAACATTTGTACCAGGCACCCAGAACCTGCTCGTCTCAGCCCTGTCATTGGCAAAGTCCTCCAGTAAAGGTGAGGACAGCTGGGAAGCAGAGAGGAATGGAGGCTGGAAGAGAGCAGGGATGGTCTGGAAAAGCCACTTTGTAAGAAAGCCAGACATTTTATTAAAAACCAAGTAACACAGGGAATTAGAAATGCAAGTGTTAGGAGCTGAGAACTGGTTTGGAATAAAGACTGTGCTCTGCTACCTGAATATAGAGCTTGAGGGCCGGGCTAGAGGCTGTGTGTTAATAATGCTGAACAAGGAGACCAGGATGGGGCAGGAGTCCTGCAACACTAGGAGGAGACAGATTGTTGATAAAGGTGAGGAACTCATTGCTGGAAATCTTGATGATGGCTGAAAGTCAGGACTTGAGCCCACAAAGCTGTGAGTGGGCTAGGAATGGTGGTGGATGCCTGTAATCCCAGCACTGTAGGAAGCTGAGGCAGGAGGATGATGAAGTTCAAGTCCAACCTCAGTAGACTCTGTCTCAAAATAAAATAAAAAGGCCTGAGGATGTAAGTCAGTACAAGGGCCCTAGGTTCCATACCCAGTACCAGAATAAAAAGAGGTAAAGCTGTGAGTAGGTCCAGTGAGTGTTCCAGGACTTCAAAATCAGACTAGGGAAAGGGAAAGGTTTGGGCACTGACGTGAGTGTAAGGAGAAAGATTCCAGGCAGGCTGCATAGGTTGTTGGTGCAGGGCCTGCTCACAGGAGCGCCTTCCGGGAACCACACACAGCTGCCTGCGGTCTTCACTACAGCCAGGAGATGAGCAGCCTGGAGCCAGGGATCCAGCAGTGGAGGGAGTTGGGGTCCATCCCCAAGAGGAGGGAATCACAAGCCAGTGTCAGAGCCCTCTGAGGGAGGTGCTGTGGGGGCGAGGAAACACAGGATGGCGGAGCAGCACGGGGCGGGTAGAAAAACAGAGGTGCAGGGTGCTTCTGGGGTGGGTGCTCAGAAGGCAGTCACCCCTTCTTCACCCCAACACACACACACACACGCACACACACACGCACACACACACCATTTTCCTCTTGAAAGTCCCAATAAGAAAACACAAGTTTCCATAGCAGAGGATACTGGGACCAAGTGATTTAGAGAATGCCAGGTTTCTTATGAAATGAGGAGATGGAATGAAGATATAAAGAGATTTACAATGAAAAAGAAGATGCCCAAAGCAAAATGAAGAGATAACATAAAGTCAGGCATGGAGGTACCAACACTGAGGAGGGTGGAAGATCCTGAGTTTTGGTGCCAGGGCTATATAGTGAGACCCTGTCTCAAAAAAGAAAAGAACCAAACAAACCAGAAACCAGGAAAGCACGCGTGCGTGTGAGAGAGATGAGAGAGAGAGACAGAGTGTTCTGGGAAGCACCTTGGACCAAAGGTCACCTTGGCCTAGTACAGATATGCAAGGAGTTGTAGGTGGAGCTGGGAAAATGCCATTGGGTCACAAGTCTACCTCAGGTCCCCTGGCTGTGCTGTGCTGTGCTGTGCTGGGATCAAGGAGAAAGCTTAGCTCTTTAGTGAACACAGTTATATGATCAGAGGTCAGGAGACCAAACCTGCATAGCTAAAAATGCTTTGCTGGGCCAGGGATTTAGCTTAGTGGTTCTGGCGCCTGCCTCAAAAGCGCAATGTCCAGAGTTCGATTCCCGGTAAAAACAAAACAAAACCCAAAAAACAAATAAAAATGCTTTGCTGTTGCAGAATTATCCTGTTAGATGAAGGTGACTTTGAGGGGCTGGCATCTGCCCAAAGAGAAGATAATTCTCCCAAGGAGCACAGCCTGGGTCTATGAAGCCCTAACGCATGTGTTGCTACCTATAAAAACACACAAGTGTGAGTTTACCAGGTTCTCTTGAACAAAATTCATGGGTCCCTCCACGTTACAAGAGCTATGGAAGGGTCCTGGGAGTGAAGGCTCGATGACAGAGGCTCCAAAGACCTGCTTGGCAGCAGATTTTGTGAAGACAAACGGGCGAGGTGGCTGCCGTGAACCTGTTCCTACCACTTCTTCCTGGCACAGCAGCCTGGCACCGGTGCTTTGTTCCTCCCTCCCGTCTACCTGTAGCCTCCCCTCCTGGTTACAGGTGCGTCACCCTCAGAACCAGGAGTGGAGGATAAGTCAGGGGACGTGCAGGGTGCTTGCTGGGGGTGGGTTAGTATGGATGAGTCCAGGAGGAAATGAATCTAGTAAAGAAGGTCCCGGAAACATTGCAAATGTGGGAACAAAATAAAGTCTGATGCACTGAACACCCATATACTTCCATGCAATGTTACCTAATCAAATCTTATTTGCTCCAAATGTTTCTAAGAGAGATTGTGATACACTTGGGGCCTCCTGTGAATCCTTTCTCCACCCATTTCCCCCTGCAGCTTCCTCCTCAGAGAATAATCTTAAATTGCATCTTTATCTTTCCCATGAAAGCAGAGTATTATTTTTCAGGGTTTACAAACTTACTTAACTGTAGCTCTAAGCTAGGCGTGGTGACACATATTGATAATCACAGCAGTCTGGGGAGGCTGAGGCAGGAAGACTGTGAGTTTCAGCCCAGCCTGGGTAACCTAACAACTTAATGAGATCCTGTATCAAAATTTTTAAAAGGAGCTGAGAATGTAGCTCAGTGCAAAGGCTCTGGGTTCAATTTTTAGTATCAAAAAGAGTAGCTCTGGTTTTTAAAAATAATCATTATGTATTTTTCTTCATGCAATGTTTTAAAGATCTATTCATGCTGATAATTGTAGCTCAAGTTTAGTTTATCTGCTTTACAGTATTTGATTGAACAAATAAACTACATTTACTTATCTATCCACTTTTTGTCCATTTATGAGCTTTTATTTCCAGCTTTTTCTTTTATAAAGCCTGCTACCATAAACATTTTGTTCATGTTCCTTATGTACAACTGCAATATTTGCTTCTCCCTCCCTCCCTCCCTCCTTTCCTTCCTTTCTTACTTCGGTGCTAGGGATTGAACCAAGGGCTTTTATATTGAACTGTATTCCCAGCCTTCATATTTATTTTTTATTTTGAGACAGGGCAGGGTCACTATGTTGTCCAGCCTGGGTTTGAATTTGCAATCCTGCCTCAATTTCCCAGAGTACTGGGATTGAAGGCAGGTATCACCATGCCACATTGAAATATGTTTTTGAAAGAATAGACCAGAAAGTAGAATTTTTGGTTGGTACCATTAAAATATTAATTTTATTTTATATTAGATGTTATGGCTTGTGATGTCCCCCAAAACCTCATTGGCAGTCATAGGCTTTTTCAGAGGTAGCTGGATCAAGAATGTGACACTGGAATTAATTCATGGTGCAATGCTAGGCTCAAGGGCACTAGGATTAAGGGTGTGAGTGCTACTCACCCGAAGGAGCCTGGATAAGATAAAAGGGATAGAAAGAGCTTATTGGCATCCCTTGTTGCTTTGCAACCTTCTGCCCATCATGACCTGTTTCTCCTCTGTGATAACTGTCTGCCATGCCACCCTGCCTTGCCATGCCACCCAGCCAGCTGATTATGGACTGAAACCTCTACAAACTGCAAGCTAAATAAGCCTTTCCACCTTCGGGTATTTTGACTTAGCAAAGAGAGAAAAGGAAAAGCTTTTGTCTGTTTTGCTCATTGCAGTATTCCTTGTATGTAGACTACTGCCTGGAAGAGAAGATAATTATTCGTTGAATGAAGGAAGGAGTGAAAATATGGCTTTTGTTCATCTAAACCCTAAGAGAACTCCTTTGACTTGCTTCTGACTGAGCTACTGTCTTTCCTCCTCTTTCCTTATCTCACATATGGATGTGAGAGTGGTCTACAGCATGGTCAGACCAGGTCTAGGAGAATCTCCTTCGCAGGACTTCCACATGCTTCCCTGCCTGCAGGCTTGCTGCTGCCCAGCATTTGGAAACTACAGGGAGAGTTGGTGGAGTCACAGGAGTGAGGAAGCCTGGGCCAGTAGACAGAAACCTCCTTTCACTGCTCAGAAACACACAGTTCTGAACTACACAGGAAGTGTGTCAAACCACTGAGATTTAGGGGGTTTGTGTTATGGCATACAGTGTTTCTCTAATGTGGGGATAATGACTACCTTGTTTAGGATCATCTCCTTCATGCTTAGCAGTTTGTAGTATTTGCCAGAGATTGAACAGCATTTGCTAAAGATAATAAGAGAAAAAGAGAAGAAGGAAGGAGGAAGGGAAGAAGCAAATGAAATTTCTAGAGCTCTGTAATCATCTTGCCATGGATCTAACTTGTTT